AATTGATTGGACCATACCATGCGTGTAAAGTAGATGGGATGTAAGCAATATGTTGGATTATATTCTATAATCATCTTATTATTTCCCAGACATATTAGGGGCATTTGAATTTTGTATTCAATCACCTGGGCACCTGTCCACATGATGAAATGAGAGAAGAGTTAGAAAGAGAGTAAATCTGATTCTTGATATCCTGATACATAGTAAGATCACTGTAGTTTACAATAATGTATTTTTATTTCAAAATAACTAAAGAAAGAACCTCAAATGTTTAAACCTAAAAGAAATGATAAATCTTTATTAATAAATTTGCAGTTATTCCAATTGGGTCATCATATAATGCATACATTTATCACTTTGTACCCTATATTTTGTCAATCAAATTTGGGAGAAAAACTTTAACCATTTAATAATGATACTGGCAAATAAAATAAATAACATCCTAATTATAAAATAGTTCAGCTCACAAACATATAAATGTTATAGATAGCAGTATCTCAAAAAAGTGTACTGAGGAATTAGTGACCTACATTTGCTTCAAAATTATATGTAAAATTTTAGGTAGGCTCATGAATCTGGATTTATTTTCATCTCCCATTTATAGATGATAAAATTATATAGATACCAAAAAACAAACTTATATCAAGTCTCTTACTGAGGAATGTTTGGTCAAGTATTTATTTCTTCTTTTTGGTTTTAGATATTTTGCATTAATTTTATTGCTACATTTTAGGTATACATTACACTGACATTCATCATTGGGAATTTGTACATTTATGTAATATATCTTGTTCTTATTTTTCCCTATTCCTCAATATGTATTCTTTTTGAAAATACATTTTTTCATTGAGTTTTTTATATATTCTGTATATTATCTCCTTGCCAGATATTTAGTTCACACATAGTTTCTTCTGGCTTCTTAAATCATAAGTCAGTCAAATAATCACCATGCATTTTTAAGTGACTGAAGCAAAAGCATTCAGCTAATTTGTTTTATTCATACTTGTTAGAAGCCACAATATTATGCCCAAAGCATGCTGTAAGCAGTGCAGGCTATAAAGAGTTAAATCTCTTAACTGGCTTACTTTTAAGAAATGAGTCTGACTGAAGCTACATGACTCACAGAAGCACCTCATGAGCACTACATAACCACCACCACCACCAGCTAGCAGTCACAGCTGAGTCCAGAGAAATGGCCTGTGAAGCTATGGAGCGCAATCTGTGATAACATACCAGCTGAGGTCAGAGTAACTCGCACCCAAATTCCATTCCCACTGTTAAAACCTTCATAACTAGAAGGACAGTTACTAATTACAACAATATATTTTGTCTATCTTGTTTCTAATTTCTTTTTTAAAAAATCTTCACCGAGTATCAAACTCAGGACCTTGCACTTCAGAGGCAGATGAAGTGCCACTGAGCTAAGACCCCAGCCCTTATCTTGCTTCTTATTTGAAAATGCCTTGTCTACTCTGTTTAAATCCTTGCCTGCATTAGTTTCCACAGTAACTGAAGGAACCACACATCCTTACATGTAGCTTACCTTTACCCCAACTGATAAACAATAATAAATCAGTGGCTGAAACTGACCAGGCCTTTTACTGGTGATCCACCATTGGCCACCCCAGCTCCCACTTTTCTCTTTAATCCTGTCTTTGAGTTTTCCTTCAGCATTGCATCTTACACTGAGCAGGAGACTAGAGCCTATTGCAGAGGTCTCATCAAAGCAGGCAAACCATTTCTAGTACTTTTAAAAGTTGGGCAAGGTTTTCAACATCTTCCATGCCTTAGCATCTTCGATTTATTAGTTTATTGAGTTATGGAAGTATCATATAGGCTCCCAGCAATGAGGTCACACCATTGGGTTTTCCCAGCTTAATTCTAGTGGTCATCCAGAAGTCTTCAGGTCACAGCTCCCCTTTCAACACACTATGCCACTTACCCCGAAGTTCCTATCTCCTTTATTCAACACAGGGACTCTACTGGATATATCTTGTTCTTTAGGAGGGAAGAAGAAATCTAGCTCACCCTGAGCTGTTTTTTGCTGGATGTTCACTTTTACTATTACAACTATCCCTTTTCTAAATGTATGCTTTTTAAAGCAGACCCTTGGTCTATATCTATGGAAGGTGAACAAGGAAAATTTCTTACAATAAGCATGTCTTCATTTTTCACAAATGAAATTTGACACTGAAAACACTCACAAAGGATGTGGTCATGATTCAAAGAGGAAAATAAAACTGAAAGAGCAACCTACATGTAGTCACAAAAGGAGTACTGAATGAAAGACATAATGTTGATTATTTTTGGTATTTACTTATATTAATTAT